GTCCTTGTGTTTTGCTTAAGTGTTTCCTCATTTTAATTTTTGTTGTTGGACTGTCCTTTGTTTAATCTCTGGATTATCACCCAAATCTTTCTGATGTAGTTGCACCCTAGCTTCTGTGTCTCTAATAACCCACAGACATTCTCATCTTCATAACATCAGAGAAAACAGCTCAACAAATCAACCGCAATGCTTTACCCCAACTGATACAATCAGCAACACATTAAGATCAAGCACAACTTTGACACTGACCACCTGTGGTAGTCACTAGTCTATCACCCTTAAATCATTTGAATTAAATTGAAATCAAGAAGCAGTCCAGAACATGTCTGCAGTGAACAAAATTTCAATATAGTGTATTTACCATTTAATGGTTCAGACAGAGCGAGGATGCAAGACCCCTGATCTCAGTTAGCTGATGGCTGAACCCCATGATGCTGACTGACCTTGGGTTGCAAGGCCCAGATTGAGTTCCCCAACCTTCTGAATGGTTGAACTCCACAACGTTCTCTTACAGGTTTCCCATACCCTTTCTTTAAAGATGTTCAAAGTTGGGAACTCAGAAAAATACCCTTGATGACCACTTCTGCCTCTGCAGAGTGGGTCCAAAAACTGGAACAGTCAGGAGGTCTGAGAGTGTTAGGGGTCTTATGGGGGTTCTTGGGTGCCTGTGCGGCTACCTTCCCAGAGCTTGAGTGATGGCGGCTGGGTCGGGAGCAGGCATGGCTCTCTTTCCTGTGGTGGATCAAAGCCCAGGCTACCTCCTGGTCCTTGAGCGATGGCAGCTGGGTCACACTACTTATTAATTTAGAGCTTTTGAGTCCAAAATCTGTATTGCCCAGTTAAATTTAGTTTTGGTTTCATACTCCAGATTTCCCTTACTTCTTTTCATGGCTCATCACAGTTTAAAGTTATGAAGCTAAAGAAAGTCAATACCATTGTGTTTGCATGCTTTTGTAATCTGTGAGATAGGAATCTTCTCCCAAGCTGGGCGTGGTGGTGCACACCTTTAATCCCAGCATTTGGGAGGGAGGCTGACACAGGAGGATTGCTGTGAGTTTGAGACCAGCCTGGGCTACATAGTGAGTTCCAAGTCAGTCTCAACTACGTAGTGAGACCCTGTCTCAAAAAAAAAAAAAAAAAAAGAAACAAAAAAAACCAACTTCTCTCAGTTTGCCATCTTATGTGAAGATATCCTGTCTCTCCCAAGGGGAAAAATCAGTACTAATCTTAGGGTTCAGAATGAATTTTATATGCCATTAAAAGACACAGTAGAACAACCCAATTTAGCCAAAAATTTCCACTTCCTTGTAATTCAAAAACATTGAACATTATCTATGCACAGCCCTTTACATTTTCTACTATTGTTCTCTAGACCTAATTAGATAAAAATCCATACAATCATTTAAATTTGTTACTATTATCAACTGACAACTATGAAGCAGGAGATTAGGGGATGGCAAAGTGGTGGGCAATTGCGTGCAAGCTCTCAGTGTTGGAATTCCAGGGCACATGTGCAGAAAAACAGTTATGAAAGCCTTGTACCTGGGACAATCAGAAAGTGCCATCTTTGATTTTTTTTCTTGAGAGATCAAGCTCAGCCTAGATCAGACATTAGCCTGAGGAGGAAAGATACAAAAGATAGCAGCCATTAACCTTGTGGCCATTGTAAGTTTTCAGTGACCTGCTCTGTACTCTAGACAGCGTTCCTCTTTTCCTATTTTTAATTGACCTGCACTCACTCTGCAGAGCATAATTCTTTTACTACCTTTGCTACCTTTAATAAATGTAAATCTTTGCTGGTTTTTTCACTTTCTTGACCAACTCTTTGTTCAGAACAAGAACTTAGCATCTCTAGGAGCCCATGGCACCACAGAACCCCTGTAATAACTATAGTACTGACAAATGAGGAAATTAGGGTACAGAGAGAGACAAAACTTGAAAGAGGCAGGGATAGGTGCAGGAACATTCTAGAAAGTCAGGAGTCAGGTCTTGGTGGACAGGACAGGGCAACAGTTGGAGGCACTCTGGCACTGTGCTATATTGAGAATACTTGCTGAAGATTTAGCTCAGTGGTGCTGCCGCCTGCCTCACAAGCACAAGGTCCTGAGTTCAAATCCCTGGTATCAAATAAAAAAAAAAAAAAAAAAAAAAAAAAGGAGTTACACTCTACTTTTGTAATCTAGTAACCCTGCACTAGACTTGTTAGTCTTTTGGGCTGGGGATTTAGCTCATTGGCACCATGCTTGCCTTGCAATTCAATCCCCAGTACAAAAACGAAAACAAAAACTTAACTGTTCCTTGAAACATTTTAGATCATATTTTCCTCAAATGATGGCAGCATTTCTTAATTGAGTCCCTAGCATTTAAAATTGTAGGGCTGGGGATATAACTTAGTGGCATAGCACCTGCTTGACTAGCGCAAGGTCCTAAGTTTGATTCTGCTACCAAAAAAAAAAAAAAAATGTTGTAGCTGTAGCTAAAATCCTAATACCTAGGCTGCAGAGAGCAGCCCATTAACAGGATGTCTGAAACCAGCCAATGATTTTCTAGCCAATTTAGTCAACTATTCCTAATGCATTTTTCTTGTCTCCATTTCTTTTTATTCTCCTCTGCAGGACAGACTGGCACTCTGTGTTCTTTACCTCTCCCTCACCATTCTCACCCCTTACCCACTGACCACCTACACCCAACTTCCTTCTCAAGACCGGAAACAGCTCAATCCACGCCCACCCTAACTCCTTCTATCCTTACTTAGTAGACAGACTCTCTTGTATTGTTATAACTACTCATTAGAGACAAATATGAACATTTCCAGGCATCTTTTTGAAATTAGAAATTGTCACTTATTCTAATTGTTTCTTATGTGTCCATCAAACTGATTTTTTTATATTTGATGATTTTTCTCTATATGAGTATGGCATGTGAAGTATTCGTAATATTAGAAGGTAAATGGGGTCTGATACTATGTAGTTTTCTGCTCAAATCTTTGCAGAGCTGAAGAAAAGGAACTGTATAGATTGACTGGTGTTTTGCTCTAAACCAAAAACTCAGAATTATACATGGAGGAAAGGACGAAATGAACATGAAAAGTTGTCACAGAGAAGTCATTACTTGGAAGTCTCATTTTGGGTTCGTTTTGCCACCTGCTAGCCAGTTTCCAATGCCTCTCCTCACAATGGTACAACTAATGACTTGGGATCCAGTTGTGCAAGTATCTTTTACTAGGCATGTTTCCCGTCCCAGGATAAACTAGAGGTGAGTTCTACGGTTCTATTTCATCTTTGGGATGTGGCACCTGATCAGTTTTTCAAGCTGCTGGGAGGTCACAAAACTTTGTTTCTTCTGCAGTTCCCCTGCCCTACCAGTGTTTTCCTTAATTACCTTTTGCAGAAACTGGTGTTTGTAGAATTTTGCTGGCACTCACACAGTGAGAGTGCCTGTGGTGGAATTCTGCCAAGGATAAAGGGAGTAGTATCCCAAAGACATTTCCTAATCCCATTTTACCTTAGCATGAGGGACATTATGGTTTGTTAATTCCCTTTCTCAACACAATCTTCCATACCAAGTATATTACAAAGTTAATTTAATATATGACAGAGCAAAATCCTGCTTTGTAGTACTGGTAGAGATTTTATTTCAAGTCACTGTATGCCTATGCTCTTGTTAAAGGAGACATTGCATGGGAGTGAAATGTATTTTCATCTGAGAATTCAGGAGACTACCTGAATTGACTACATTTTGATTAAAAATGAAAATCAAGAATGCCAAAAATACATCAACAAGTTATTATTTTAGGTGTTTATTATGACCCAGTTAACCATTGTTGAAGTTTATAATAAGAACAAATATATTTTTTTCATTTATTAACACCTGAGTAATATTACTACCTTGTCCTGGGATTAAAACACAGGAGCTAAATATTTCATGTATAAATAGTAATTTCAAAAATTTTATCAGCAATAATTTTAGAGAAAGGGAGTCTTTAAAATGAGGATCATGTAAATCATTTGAAATTGGTTGTCTTATCTGTATAAAACTTCTTATAGGCTAGGGGGTTTACTTCAGTGGTTCCACTGCCTGCCATGGAAGCACGAGGTCCTAAGTTCAATCTCTAGTAACTCCCCAAAAATTATAGTAGATTCATTAAAAGGAGTATTTAAATATGATTTTCCTAAATGGAAAGAAGAATCACATTTTTAAAAATAATATCCATATTGAGTAGTATTTGACAATAATGGCCAAAAGAAAAAGGTTTTGAATTGATAGTTGCAAAGCAGCATTAGAAGTTTAAAAAAAAATTTTTCCCCCTTTTGTGGCACTAGGGATAGAACTGAGGTGGGTCTTGCATTGTGTCCCATGGCACACAACGAACCACTGAGCCACATCACCAGTCCAGGTCTTTTGTATGAAATAAGTTGCAAGAAGATTTAGTTGGATAATTTATTTTTATATTAAATTTAGATTTAGTAAGGCTTTAATTTTGGTATAACAATGCAACATGAATCAGACTGCAATTCTAAATAGCTTTTTGTAGAAGCTGTCATTTCTAAATGTAAAATCTTCTCTGTCCTTTTTCCCATAATCCATTGTGAATATTTAAAAAAAATATAAGGAATACATAAAGCAATGATGTCTTCAGTGCCTCCCTTATTATCCAAGACTTACAATTTAGGGGAGGACAGGTTTACTTTGGCTTGTATGTCGATCCATAATCAGCTGGCTCCAAAACAGGAAGGCAGACAAGAACTGCTCATGGAAGAAGAGAGTAAAGTAAAGGGAAGGGCATCTGCAGAACACAGAGCAGTGACTCATCTCCTCTTACCAGACCCTATAGCAAGGCAGTCGCCATCTGGGGAATTTTAGATCTAAACCATAACATGTGATATAAAAAATGAACTCTAGGGCCAGGGATTTAGCTCAGTGGTTCTGCTGCCTGCTTCACAAGCACAAAGTCCTGAGTTTGATCCCTGTTACCAAAAAAAAAAAAAAAAAAAAAAAAAAAAAAAAAAGAGAGAGAGAGAGAGAATAAATTCTACAATTTGAAAAAGCAAAATCACAACACAACTGAAGCTCAAGCCACCATGGCTTTATTCTTGCAGATATGAGTGATCTAGATAAAGAAAAGAATCACTGAATTTTCTTTTACATAGTCTCAATAATAGATTTCAATTTTTCTGAAGATACTTTCTCATCATTCCACTACCATGCTCTTGATTTTGTTTCCTATTTTCACTTAAGTTCTTCAAAAAACATGAAGTCCTGGATAAAACATAAAAGCAGAAATGTTGGTAGTCCCCCCAAAATATTAATTCTCATATACAGAAAGCTACAACAATAGATCACACACAATAACGTATCTGTTAAACAAGAAAAATTAAATGCATAAATCTTAGAAATGTCTGTTGCTATATAATCTGCCTTCACATTTCTAATTTAATAGTTACTCAGTTCTGTATTTATCTGTTGATATCTGTATGAATTTATTAACTCCCTATCAATTTCCCTAACTAGCATTTTTATAAACGCCTGAAATCTTTCTCTTTTACTCCTCCTGCCTGAACTTTTTTGCAGTCCTTCTAGTTATACAACTTCTCTACTGACATGGTAGTAATTCTATACACAAGTTTTTTCAAAATCACAGCCTTGTTAGAGGTAGGACACATTATAAACAGAACATTTTGGCTCAGGCTCATCAATTCTTTCATTCTGTGCCCCAACTTGTTCCATTCCATTCCTGACCTGACAAGACCTTAACCAAGATTCGATAGAAGAGACTTACAATGAGAAAGCATGCACCAAGCATTGCAGCTTTCATTTTCACATCAAGGTCCAGAGGGAATTGAATCCCAAAGTTGTCAGCATCTGTGAATGCCTCTCTCAAAAATCCAGTCCAGTGCTTGGTAATCTTGCCAACTATAGTTTCTTCATCAAGAGATTTAATCTACATTGCAAAAAGTGAAATCTTAAGGAGTTCTAGAAAATTCACAGCAAAGCTACTTTCAAAGTTGCACTAAATTTAAATCGACACTGTACTAAATTATACCAATATATAACTATGACTTATAACCCTATTCATTGGCTCCTGTATATATTTTTGGTATAAAAAACTGTTTTACAATAAAGATAAATTATATGAAAGCAATTTAAATGAATTATTTAATATTTTGTATTTGTATTAAGACAAAAATAATACATTATTTCAATTAACCCAAAACAAAATACAAGCAGAGAAAAAGAAAAATAAAGTATTTTTTTGATGTAATTTCCAAAAGCAAAGAGTTTGCATGCACTGCAAATTTAAACATGATGGAAAGCTCATCTTCAGCCACTATCAGAAGGGGAACATAAAGGGGCCAGGGATTTAGCTCAGCGGTTCCGCCCCCTGCCTTGCAAGCGCAAGGACCCAAGTTCGATCTCCGGTACCAAAAAAAATAAATAAAGAAAGAAAGAAAGAAGGGAACATAAATTGCTGAAAGTCTAAAAATGACGGTCAGCTTTGCCGCTCATGTAAACTTTGTGCTTCTTCAAAACAGAAACCTAACAGGAATTTTGCTTATTATCCTCCTGATGGTTTGTAGTAGAAAGGACAAAGAAGATAATTGAGGAACATGTGTTATACAGTGATCAGTTCCTCCTTATCCGTGGGGCTCTAGGGAGGTCCAAAACCAAACCCTGTATTTGTTCCTATTCACGCACACCTACAATAAGGTTTAATTTATAAATTAGGCACAGAAAGAAATTAGCTATAATTACTAATCATTAAGTAGAAAAAATATAAAAATATGAGTATACTGTAATAAGTTACATGAATTTGTTCTCCCTCTTTCTCTTTCAAAATATCTTATTGTTCTCATCCTTTTTCTGATGCTGTGAGATGATACAGTGCCTGTGCTCAGGGATGAAGCAACATTTCTGATGCAGGCATCGTGCAGTACACTAGGATGCTTTATCAGGGCTACCTGAATACTAGCAGTGAGGTAGCTACCAGTATAGTTGATCTGACAATTAACTATTACCAGAAGGCCACTAAGTACTGACCTAATGAGCTGATAGTACAAACGGTGATATTATCCTGGAAAAAAGGAACACTCGTGTCCAGGCTGGAATGAACCGGATGGGACACATGGTCCATCATATTACTCAGAATAGCATGCAATTAAAGCTTACATTATTTATTTCTGGATTCACCATGTAATAGTTTCAGACCACAGTTGACTGGGGGTAACTGAAATTGTGAAAGGCAAAACTGAAGAAAGGAAAGTTCTTCTGTATTAACCTTATTAAAACAATATTTGCCTAGGCTGGCTTTTTGGAGGAAGTCAGATTTTCTGAATATGGCCCAGAGCACAAGAGAGCCTATATGGCAGATTGAAAAGAATTCATAGTCTTGGACAATCAGATTTAGAGGACAAAGACAAAGTTCTCTTGAAAATGAGTAATATGTAGTGTCACTATAAACCATCATGTTTTAAGGGTTATACAGTTTAATTTTTATCTGACTACATAGCTCTTTTTCTTTTTTCACTTAGTACAGCCAACACTGACTCTTAATCAGAATAGTGAATAAAGTTAAACATGTAAGCACATTATTTCTCTTCTGGATATCAGTACAAAATATTTCTTTGATATATTTGTAACATTTTGTAAAATTATATTTTTAGGTTAGGACAGCAAATCTATAGACATTTCTTACCTTAAAATCAATATCAGTACAGCATCTGCATGCAACACATGGACCAATAATTTTCAGTACATCCTCTCTTTTCTCATTTTGAACAGCGTACTTTGGCAGATATGGGTGCCACTTCTGAATAATGTACCCTATTGGAACACCAGGAGGAGCTTGGATTTCAATCTATAATAGCAGAAGAATATATACAAATGTAATAATAACTACAGTCAATGAAGGGGTGAAAATTCTTCCTAAAGTACTTTAGGAACAGCCGTAGTAATTGCACACAGACCTCTTGTAGGCAGCAGGGGCAACAACAGTCATCACACCTCAGTGGTCTCTCCATAGTTATCACTTCTCGGCCCAAATTATCAAGAATCCTCAAGGTAAAAGGCCTACATGGTCCACAACAATTTCGGGTGCAACAGCCAGTATCTTCCACTGCAAAGTAAACCCTCTGTCCAAGGCTATTCTTAATTTCAAATTTGTTATTAGTTTCAAATCCCGTTAAGACTAAAAACATAAAAGAGAAATGCATCGTCACAATTTTATAAGAATAGTGAATCTCTCATATTTAGCAACATCAGGTTCGGATGATACTTCAAGAAACACAAAAAGAGAAAAAAGAAATGTATTTAGAAGTGATCTAGATAGACGAAATAGGCAAAGGGAAAGAAGGAGACACTATTTTTTTTTTTTTTTTGCTACCAGGGATTGAACTCGGGTCCTTGCACTTGCAAGGCAGGCCACTGAACCGCTGAGCTAAATCCCTGACCGGAGACACTATTCTTGTCAGAAGAAATTTTTGTCAAGACAGACAGACATAAATAAACTGGCTGCCGGCCACATAGGACTGCCAGTGCTATATTTGTGATGGTGGAGTTGCCTTTGTCTGCAAAAGCCTCTTCTCTTTCTAGAAATACAATCAATACAGTGAGCATGCGTACCTTCCAGAAGTTCAATTTGCTGGTGAATCAGAATCTGATCTATCTAAGAAAGAGAAAATTTGAGCATATTAATTATTAATGCTTAACTATCAATTTTTAAATTTATATTATGCTTTAGTATGAAACTAATTTTTATTTTATTAGTAAAAAATTTGTGGAATCTATCAATTTGAGAAACTTCAGGTTAAATGAAACTGCTTTACACTGGAAGTCCTATAACAAATTTCTTTATACAAGAAGCTCAAGAAATGATCATTTTATTCATTTAAAAAGAATTTTTCCTACAACTTTAAAATTTTAAATGTATGCAATATTATCAATTATGATAGGTGATAATTTTCTGTACATATTTTATGAATTTCTTGATTTTGAAAATGGGTATTTCAGGGTATTTTCTTTTTTTAGAGTATTTCTTGAAGAATATGGTTATGACTAAATTTCTTATAACCTGATTGATTGCAGTGTGGAAAATACAGTTAGTAGAGTGTGCTAGAGACACACCTGATTTACTTAATACTGACTTTATATCACAACAACATTTATTTATATGTTTATAGGCTGGGGACACAGAGCTTTTATTCCTATTTTACCAACCTGATGTCTTACACAAAATAAATGCTAAACCTCATATGCCAAAATTCACTATCAGGCTGGTAAGACAAAGTAATGGCCTTTCCCTCTCTTATTGTCAGAATTTATGAAACTGGATCTTCCAAAGATCAAAATGACCAACATAAATATTTAATTTTATTAGTTGTAAAAAAGTAAGTCATATTATACACGAAATATTAACTTTATGTTTCATACCACTTATTGAAACTAAGCAATAAACTTTACTTAAAACTTCTTTTAAATTTCCAGCAAAGTATTCTGTTTTGGGATGAAAGCGTACTGGGTTCAGAACCGAAGTCCAGATTAAAACACCAATCTCATTGTCTTAGCTTGCTGACCCTGAGCAAGGTATATAACTTCTGAGTAGTTCCTCTTTTGAAAAATGGTGATAACTGTAGCACCTATATACCATAGATTTTTCTGTAAGGATTAAGTGAGATAACATACGTTATACTCAGAAAAAGACTGTTGAATATTTGCTATTTATGGGACTGCTATTAAAGGTTAAATTCAAGACTATAGAAAACAATATACCACAGATATTTGTAATTTGCTTAAAAAGTGAATCACACATAGAAGAATCAGAGTAATCTGTTAGCAGATAATGTTTTATAATTTTACACTTTGGCAAGTTATTCCCTTGGTATTCTAGGTACATGAACTAGAAGCACAGTTGCATTTTTCTTGAGTATTTCATGCATTTGCAATTACCTGACTTAGATATTCCAGTCCCGGTGGGCAGTTCAGTGGAGCTGATGGTGCTGGCATCCATGATACCCCTGTGGGTCCATCTGGCTGATTATCATATACTGGTTGATTTTGTATAGGAAACCTGGGTTGGACAGCAACTGGATAGTTGGGTGGTGGGACTGTGTAGTCAGTTGGGGATTCTGGGTATGCACCCTTGGGCTTCGGGTAGCCAGTATGCCCTGGTCCTAAAATAAAAACAAGTGAAATAATTTATAACTTTACAGGAAAGTGAAATCAACACACTTTTAATACCCCAAGTGCTACAAACTGACCACTTAGAATACCTTTATCAATGATGTTTAATGTGCCTTTTATCTTTCAAGATTTTTCAATGCACTGTCTGTGGTTTCATAGCCACTTCTATTTGTGGGTGGTAGCTGCGAACAGAGGTAGTATATAGCCTTTCCATTCAAAACTCAAATGGAGAAGTTGTGGTTTTTCTATAAAATGGAATATTACTCAGCCATAAAGAACGAGAAAATAGAATCATTCATAGGAAAATGGATACATATTGAAGATATACTCCTAAGTGAAATAAATAAGTCACACATGTGTAAATACCGAATAGTTTCCCTGGTGTAAATAATCTGCAACAATGCATAAGATTCTAATAAGATTACTGACATTGAGAAATGGGAAGAAAGGAGCTAAAGGTGTAGGGAAGGTGGGATGGGTAGGGGAAGAGTAAAAAGGGAAAAGAAAAAAATGTGAGAGAATGAAATGATGAAAATAAAGTGTTTGTAGATGGGGAGGGGAGGAGGGAGGGGGTGAAGGGAGGGCAGAGGTAAGGGCAAAAAATGAGAATTAAGGCTTGTCATGTAGAGGTACAAGATCCCAACAATGAATGTAACTGTACTGTATCCCTAAAATGTACCAATAAACTCAATTAAAGCTGAAAAAAAAAAAAAACAAATGGAAAAAAATACGCTTTTTACATAAGAAAGGGTAAGAAAGTCACCTGGAGTCAGTAATATAAACATTTAGACTACCTTCAGAGAAAAGAGATAGCATCAAGTAGAAGATACAAACTAAAGGCTTTGACCAGTATTTCAAGGACTCCCACTCCTGGTGATATTTTAGAATTCTAACAAATGATATGTCCTGTAAGTGCGGGCCTGGAAGTAATTATCCCTCTCCTCCCAGGGGTTTTTGGGGAAAATTTGGGGATGTTTTTGTTTGTCAGAACCGCAGAGGAGGGTAGCTCTCTCATCTAGTGGATAGAAGCCAGATATATTTCTAAACATCCTAAAATGCCCAAAACAGTGACCTGGAAAGAAAAATTTTCCAGCTCAAACTATACAATATCACTGTTGAGAAATCTTGATGTAGAAATAAAAGAATGTCATTTCTTCCAACTCATTCAAGTTATATTATCTGGGTCACAGTTTGCCTGGAGTGCTTTTTTCCCTTAATACTAGTGATGGAACCCAAGATCTTTGTACTACTAAGCTAGAGCCTCAGGACTTTAAAATTTTTATTGTGAGGCAAATTCTCATTAAATTACCGAGGTTGGCCTTAAACTTGCTATCCTCCTGCCTCTGCCTCCTAAATTACTAAGATTACAGGTATGTGCCACTGTACTTAGTTTGCCTGAACTTCTAATCCATGGAATATTCTTTTCCTATGCCTCTATCTATCTATCTATCTGTCTATCTATCTATCTAACTGATATTTGGATTAGAAATTTAAATTTCACAATTTAACAGCCTGGGGTTTCTGAAAAATAGTTTGAGAAATAAAGATGACAAAAGTTTGAAGAAGCAAAATGCTTTTAAATACTCGCTTTAAGATGGTTGCTACATAAAATAACAGCCTTCTCCTTCCCATAATGCCCTGCTTCCTAAAAATATGGCTTCTCCCACCAAAGGACAGCCTTCTTCCCATGATGCCCTGCCTCCCCAAAGTGTAACCTGATCCTACCTCCTAGCAACTGATGATATCACATTTCCCTCCTAGTAGCATCACAGGCTTCTCCAATCCCAAGCCTCTATCTATCTATCTATCGATCGATCTATCTATATTTATCTCAAAAGAAAACCAGGAATAGCTAGGCTGCCAAAATTTCTTAAACATAATTTTAATAAGAACTAAGTGGAGATACACCGTTTCACCCTTCTCTTGCCCTAACTTGGGAATATCCATTGATTACCATCACTTTTCTTCTTCTTCAATCACATATTTTACCTTGAGGTGTTACTGGTGGATGCTGACTGGTATACTCAGTTGGTGAATTTGTTCCTAGATGTGGAATATCCATTTGTATGTCTGCAATTCAAGAAGTAAACATATGTCCACATAAATAAAGTTATATTAGGAAAATGCATTGTTGTTACACAACGTTATTACACAACTGTGTGGGTTTAGTATCAAAATAGGAAAAATAAATTCACTTTACATTGGTCATACCAATTATCAGAGCTAATCTGCAGTAACATTCGTTTCCAACCAATTTCCTTTTCAACAAAATGAGACAGCTTACTTACTGGGGCTAAATTTCTAGTTTTTCAGATATGCTTCTGAGTGTTCAGTTCCTTGCTTTTATTTTTTGATATTGGAAAAAAAGAGCCTTAAAAGTAACAGACTCTGAAGAAAGCTATACATGAAACTAGTTGGATGTTGTGATGTTAATGCTAGAATTATGGATGATTTTAAATATAATCCACTGCTGGAGGAATAATTTTTAAACTACTTTAAATAATACCCATACTTATCTTTTATACACTTACTCTCAGCCTACATATTGAAGAATATGAAATTTCCAACCTATAATTTATTCTGACCTAAAAAACCATAATATTTAATTATACTAAGCTAACACATTAAACTTCATTATCTGCTAATAACTAGGACTTTGATAATCTTAATACATGCACAAATGGTTTGACTTCTTAGTTCTTTATACTCACGTCTCTCTGGTGATACATTTATCCACCTGAATGATCACTTATGTCATGGGGCTGTAGTGGCTCTGCCTTCACAGAAGATTATGGTCCAATTGATACTACCCTTACATTTTCTTCTCCATTGCCTCATAATTTACTAAGTAGAAAGTCATTTGTTTTCCAGTCATAGTGATATGGCTCATCACATGAATGTGAAAAATACTATTATTCAAATTTTGAGTCTTACATGTTGTGTATGTGTCTCTGCTAATGAACTTTCAAGTAAGACTTAATTTAATTGTGGATTTATCAGGAAGGGTGCATTGCATATCCCATTTGATCAGTTTCACAGGAACTTCATCAGAATGTAGTCCATAAAAACTGAGGAAATTCATGAAGAAATTCTACCTTAATCTGGTTTGAACAGACATTACACATTCACCAAAATATGGCAAATCTGAAATACCACAGGTTATTCCATCCAAATTATTCTCTGCTATTTTTTACCTTCAGGTGAATAGCCTAGCTCCCTCATTCTCTGGTTGTTTAAATCCTGCCTTTGGCTTACACTACCAATCTGAGCTCAAAACAATAGGATCAGAATCAAATCAGACATCAAGCAAATATAGAACAAGTCTGATTTAAGGCTCTACCCTTAACTGGCATGTCACATTCTGGCACCTCCTAACAGGGACCATTATTTCACTAACATAAAACCTATACACATTTTCAGGAGCACAAGGATTCAATAAATCAGTTGCTCATAGTACCCAATTTGTGTACCAGAGCAATGACCCCTAGATTCAGGAAGTTCAGAATGAATTCAAGCAAAGAGAAAATAAGTGAATGGGTAGATGTTCAAGAGGATGAGCGAGTACATGAATTATATATCAATTTCTGTACTTGGAAATGCAAATAAAAATAACACAAAAAGCACATGGTTGTCATGTTATATGTAAATGCATTTATAGTTTATATATGTAAATATATAGAACTACACATTCTATGTATATTCATAAATGCATTCTTTATTCCTATTTATACATAATATACATATATATAAGAACGCCATTTTATATACAAAACTGAAGAGTTAAAATGTGACTATGATCATGGTAAGCAAATCTTTATTTTCTAGGTATATTTTTATAAGCACATGTTTGCAGTACATGATGATTACATTCATTATGGGGAATTTGTACACGTACATAACAGTTACATTGTTTTATTTCCACTTCCTCACTCCTCTCACCCCTTCTCTTTACTTCTAGATCCCCTTCCCATATGCAAAACATTTATCTCTTATCTTTTATTTTTCTAACTCAAGTTAAATCATATTAAAGTTTCTATCATATAATACAGCTTCATTGCATATAAATTCACTTTAAAAGCTTCAGGAGTTATAAAAATAAAATTAAGTCAAAAGAGCAATTAACAGATGATTCCAAAATTTCTTGTGGGAAAAGTAAGGGATTTGGTGTAGGAAAAATAAGGGATTTGGTTCTGAAGGCTATCTAGCATATTGGTCACGCCCCAAATTGTAGCAAGAGATGAATTTATGTTGATTATCTCAATAAGAGAATAAAAATTGTTTCAGACAAAAACTATTTGTTTTCTGATAATTCTGGTGTAATATTCTTCTCTTCAGAACCTGAAAATTTCAATAAACCAAAATCTCTTTACAAAGTTCATGAATATCTATTTTACCTAGAACTTTCTGAGGAGGAAAAAGGCGAAACATTGTGGTTGGTATTTAGATATGCCTATAGCAATGTGTTTACTGTAAAATATATATTCTGGTATGTATCTAAGGATTTTATTACTATGAACTGCTAAATATAAATGTATCATCATTTCTGTCAATTAGTATAATTTCATAAATTATACTTCATAAAATAAGGATGTAAGGATTATTAAAGTCATAACTAACACATAATAAATTTAATATTAAAATGCAGAGTGCAAACAGAAGACTGTTCCAGCTGAAAACAGCACAGCCTAACATGAAGCTTTCTCTTAGGTTTTTTTATTATTGAAACTGTTAGTGACTGTGGATATTGGTACACATCTTTTCTGTATTTGAAAGTTATTTATGTGTCAGGTTTTGGAGCATAAACAACACAGAACAAATATATAATTTTAGAAACTGAATAAAATATTGTGACAAATAACAAGTAAACCGATTTAGCATTGTAAACAAAGGCAAACCCCTGTACTTGTCATGATTTAAACAGTTCTGAAAGAGAAGACCTGATATTAGCACAAATTTTAAAGGTCAAATATGGCTGTGTAGAATTATACTGTCACATTCATGGGATAGTCCTTCTTATTCATTTATCTAGACTAATCCCCAAATTGATACATTTTGGACTCAATCCATTCCCTATGCTGTACTTCTAAGATTTCAGAAGTTGTTGGTAAGAGTCTATGATCATGGACCATCGTAAAAACCTGTGGGAAAAGGTTCACTGATGCACAAAGGCATAAGGGAGCATTGTGACCCTAAGACCTCAAGCAACAGCCAAGCTAAAAATTTCAGCCTTCTCAACCAACACTCGAAAAGAAGCATGGGGTCTCTTTCCTAGCCTCTGAGCTGTGCTCCAGGAAGGATCAGTAGGAGAAGAAGAAAGCTTCATTTTCAGATCATACTACAGAGATACTATAAGTATCTCTGGCATTCAGGACTCATTTTGCCCAATTTCAAATGTCAGAAGGCTGCACATTAAGGGTTTTTGTTTTTTTTCTTCGTTTCTTTGTTTGGTATACCAGAAAAGCCACTCTCAAGGTTGTCGTGGTTGTAGCGTCCTTGACAATCCAAGGGAAACTTTGTATTTGAATATTTCTACAGAAACATGACTAGCAAAGAGATAAAAAATAAATAAGGGCCAGGGATGTAGCTCAGTGACGCCATGACCTCCTGGCAAGTGCAAGGTTGAGTTTGATCTCTGGTACTGAAGCGGGGGAGGGGGATTTCTTCCCAATACTTCTTTCTGCCTTTGGAACTTAGATCCTATCTCAATTTCCCCAGTAGTATACAGTCACTACTTTCTTTACTGTAAATCTCTACCCTTTTCATGTCTTTTATGCAACAGTTTCTAGATTGCAAATCTATACGATGAAGAACATTTTTAGTTTAGTTTAAAGAGTGCTTGTCTGTAAGATTAAATTGTTTTAGCTGAAGAGTCCATAGACAGAAATAAAGGATGCACTGGGAAGTGGGAAGTTCATAAACTAACGCTATGCATCATGTTGGTTGCATACTAAGTGTGTAGCTTTGTAAAGTTTCAAGACCTGTCCTAATAAGGAAAAACTGAAAAGACACTATTTAACTTTCCCTGGGATTAGAGATCATTCCTTTTGTGCACATGAATCCCTGGAAGATAAATAGTCTTGTAAATGTGCTCATTTGCTCATACTTGCTCTTTTTCTTTCTGTTTGGTTACATTATTTTGAGTCTTAGAATATAGTGACTCCTGAAGCATAGGGTCCTAAGCCAGAAAGAGCGGTGAGAGATGAAGAAAAGATAACTAAGAGACCAAGATTATTCTTGATAGCTGGGACCAGGTGGGACCACAGCCTGATGAGCTAAAGGCCATGTGGTGTCCAGTGCACTCTTTATTTATAGTGTAGGGTGGCCATGAGGCCCATGTGGCCTAGGCTGAACATGGTTCTCTTTTGATTGGGGCAGGCGAAGAAAAGGAGGCTATGTAGTGTAACTGTCTCCTGGGGCTACATCATCCAGGATCTAAAATCTTAGCTATGGAGAAAGAGAGTAGGGCCTAGGCTAAAGGCCATCTTCAGGATCGGCCTGTGGTTGAGTGACAATAAGCACTTTTGATATAACTTACAGAATGAAATCTGGATACTCACTACACAATAAATTTTATATGCAACAATTATGTATCAAGCAATAATACTGGTATTTCTTAATCTCTCGTGCAAAAATATTAAGTGGTTCCTGATCCTATACGTCTGCTAATTTAACTAAAGCACTGTGACTGATGGGTAGCCATTTAGTATGTAGATGCCTTGTGGGCATGGGGATTATCTTCTTTGTTGTCATACTGATCCTTTTGTTTTCTTAACCCTTGTGGTGGATTGATTCCAAGATGCTATACAAGAGGTGATCAAAAAATTAATAAAATTTTAAAAATTGTATTACAGTAAAATACACATTGTGAAGAACTATCAGATAAATGTGTTCAAGGTGAAAGGGAATATTTTGAGTATTTTGAGAGAAATTAATGGCGATGTATTTTTAACTGTTAATACATTTTTTAAAGTTTTATACTTTCACTGTACTTTTCTGTCACAGCTTATATACAACTCAATTTTGGAAATAATTAGCTATGTACCCAGTTAAATTAATTACTTAATAAATTC